ATATATATATATATATATATATATATATATATAAAATTAATATTTGGGGCAGGGACCACGTTACCCGACCCCGTCCCCATCCCCGGTTTTGTACTTTGGTGGACCCCCGTCCTAATCGCCGGTCCCCGGTTTCGCGGGGAATCTCTGTCCCCGTCGGGGTGGGCACACCGAGTTCCCTAATAGGGCAGGTCTCATTCACATGTCTATAATTAACTAATTCACATATGAACTATGAGTTCACATATGCACTTGTTTTCCGCCTATTTGTAAAAGTTACAAAACCATCGTCTATTTTTCGCTTGACCAGTCAAAGCTGCAAGTTTTGACCAATCTTGACCGCATAAATGGCTATGATCACTTCTTTATTTCTCAAACAAACCTCTCCCTGTATATATAAGGAGTTTCAAATACAAACCATACAAATCAATTTCAACTGTCTCTTTAGTCTAATGAATATGTGGTGGTTTTGTAAATATCTTGATTATTTTCTGATTTTAAGTGTTAATCATACTTAATGAACTTTGATTATCTTTCATAAATGTATGGATCATGATGAATAAACTCTCAGTATTTTCATGAACATCTCATTTGATTGGTTTGTGATAGTTTTTACATCTTAAAGGGTTTGTTAATTGCAAATTGAATTTCCCTTGTGAACTGAGGGATGAATGAGAGCATGACACGTGCTTTTCATTAGCCATAAATAATATAATAGAACTAGATTTGTACATGATAAAACAGGGACGAAACCAATAATTTTATCATGGGTAATCCTCTTTAATAAAATAAAAATATACATATATGATGGAATTATATTCATGATAAAGATCGATCAAAATGTGAATATACATTTCAAAATCCAAAACACTAATCTTTACAGATTCAACAATAAATTTGGCGCTCTGAAATATATCAACGATATCTTCATTAACAACGTCCACAAACGCATCTATTTCAATATAAGCAACCAAATGATTAAAAATTTAAAACTTAAAATGGTGGGCCTCTAATGTGATTACCAATTCAAAATTTTTGGGCTTATTAATTCTTTTTGAATGTGAGTATGGGCTTGTGAATTCCCGGGCCTAAGCCAGCTCGGCACATTTGATAAAAGTCCCGTTGGATTCGTTACATTGACGACTACATATATGTCGAAGATAGAAATCCAAGTTTCATTATCATATTAAAATAACAATTCATCTATAATTTAGGGAAAAAAATAAACATATTATTTTAGTTATAATCATGGGATTGATGTTTTTATAACCGCTTATTAATGAATGTGAAGTTAAGAGGAAAAAAGAAGAAGATTATCATTGTGTTTTCAATATTAGTTGTATGGTGATAGAAGAACCTAATCTAACAAAGGCTTGTGATTGGTCTAAATAGTCTCTATAATTAATACATTTTTCATGGTTAACAAATAATCTTAGTGTGCACATATATATATATATATATATATATATTTTGCATATCCAAAATGATTTATAGGTTGAAACGGATATCGTCTTATATATCCACAACTGTAGCTTGCAATTCATATTCATTGACTACAATTTGGGGATTTGATTTCATCATTAATTCGCTGGTTAAATTCATTGAAAAAATTAACTTCAGGAATTCAAACTTTGATCATAATAAACATTCCATAATTAATTCTTCAACTGAAATTTTTTAAAAACATTCCATAATAATGAATTTGATGTTTATATATAAACCCATCACTTGGGACATGAGGAACAAGTATTATTATCCTTACTTACAATCACCATGGAGACTCAGAAGCCTGTTGTTTTCATAATGGGAGCAACCGGCACAGGAAAATCCCGTCTCTCCGTCGACATCGCGGCCAAATACTCGGGTGAGATTATCAACTCCGACAAGATGCAAGTCTACAAAGGCCTGGACATTGTGACCAACAAAATCACTGAACCAGAACAGAGAGGTGTGCCACATCATTTGCTAGGGGAGATTGATCCGGAAACTGACTTCTCAGCACAAGACTTCCGTTACCATGCACTATCGGCTATCAAACGGGTGGTGAGGTCGGATAAACTACCCGTGATCGTTGGAGGATCAAACTCGTTCATCGAAGCACTTGTTGAGGATCCCTTATCCAGTTTCCGGGACAAATACAAATGCTGTTTCTTATGGCTCGATGTTTCTGTACCCGTACTATGGTCATATGTTGAACAACGGGTAGACCAAATGGTCGATGCAGGTATTATCTATTTCGTTCTCGATTTGATTTGATGTTAACATAATTCATTTGTACGATATGATGCATATATATATATATATATATATATATATATAATGAAAAATGTAGGACTAGTTGATGAAGTTGGAGGCATTTATGATCCAAAGGCCGACTACACAAGAGGCATACGTAAATCGATTGGGGTTCCGGAACTAAAAGAATATTTTGAGGCAGAGAAGGAGATCAGTTCTGAAGAGCTACTTGAAGCTGCAATTTCCAACATTAAGTCCAACACATGCAAACTGATTGATCGTCAGTTATCCAAGATTTATCGACTCAAGAAACAATTGAGGTGGCCGCTCCATCGGGTGGATGCAACCACCGTGTTCGAGAAACAAGGCAAGGAAGCAGAAGATGCATGGGAACGAGACGTGCTACGACCATGCTTCCAAATAGTTGGGGATTTCCTCAACCTCAACCTCAACCTCAACGTTAACATAATAAATAATATATAATATAATATTAATTAATGTTCCTTGCAGATTACTTCCTTCCACTGTTTCTTAAACCTATTTTCTTAGATTGATTCGATAGGAATCTATAATATTGTTTCATGGTTAATAGTTTATTATATGTAATAAGTGGGGACAAAATAATAAGAATATGTTTACAAAATATCAGAGTCCCTAAAATAAAATTTGGCTATTTTAAATTTGTATGTGTGTTTAACATCATTCATTCATGAACGCATTCACTATTTCATCTATAAACAAAGTTATTGTTTCAATATTTTTCATCTTCATATATGAATACATTTATTATTTCACCTATGAAATTATGCTATTATCCTCCACTTATGAACACATCATTTTTCTTTTGAGCATATTAGTTTCATCATGAATTGAGTTTGAACATATTAATTGACAAACTTGAAACATATTTATATAAATTTTGATTATGAAAGACCAAGAGAGAAATTACTTTGGGTATGGTAGATGTTATTAATTAATTTTCCAAGAATACCCTAACAATGTTTTGTGTGTCATATAACCATCATATCCATGTCAGGTAATTGGAGCCCATAACTTCAAACCTAAACAATCGCACTTTTGTTGTTTTTGTGATTCCAATACACTAAAGGAATTGAAATGGAATTCAATAAACTTTGATCTAGTTTTGTTTTTGAAAGGGCCAACCTTTATTAAAATCAGAGAGAAAAACATAATACAAAACAACCAACACGCATAAACAACCAAACCTAGCTAACATGACAAAGGGAAAAACGAAAAACAAAGCATTGCAAAAACAAGAAACCACCCACCACACAAACACAAGCAAACTAAAAACCCTCAAGGAAGCATGCCAAGGAATTGAAATAGAATATCTAAAATGAATTGGAATCTACGACATGTTTAGTTAGTAATATGCAGCTTTGGAATGAGAATAAGATAATAAGTGACTTAAATACCTCTTTATTACATTTTCATATTTCGTTGCATATATTATAAATGCAATGTAACGATAAAATCAGTAATAGCATTAATTGAAGATGGTGATAGGGGTTGTGGTGGCGATGATCAGGGATATCCTTGGGGAGAGTGAGACGGGCATATGGCCAGGGCCCAAAAATATTAGCCCAATTTTTTAATATATAATAGTAGTCCATAAAAAATTAGTACATAATTAAATTAAAAAGATGCCTGAATTTAGTAGATGACAATCTCAAGATGTATTAAGTAACTCCAAGCTCATGTGCTTGTCTTGCTATATGTTTTTGTTGGCTACTTTTATCTATTTATGTTTCTATTGGATATTAACAATGTTTGCGTAATTGTTTTTGTAAGCTATTGTTATCTATCTATAGTTGATATTGTCTAACTGTTTGACGATTCATCCATTGTTCTTATTAAATATTTATAACTAATTAAGTGACTACAGTTAAAACGGCAACTTCATTCTTATTAAATATGTATAATTAATTAAGAATATATTTAAAAATTTAGTTATCTAATTTAAAAAGGAGGCACTTGTTTTGAAACGATTAAATATAGAATTTGAACACTAATTTAAGGAGAGGGAGTAATATTTCCACGTGTAATGCTGCCGTCAATGTCGGCTAAAAGAGCTTTGGATTTTAAAATAGGTTGGTTGTTAGGGTGCGAGGGTCCTTTTTACGGTTGACCCCTCGCACCGTCATGCGGCCTGTCCCATAAATCCTCCCAAAACAATGATACAAAGTCAGATATCATGGATTCATGATGGTGGGTGATATATGTTTTTTTTTTCAGAGTATCTTTCTTTTAAATATAAAATTATTTTAACAATATATAAATTTATCCGTCTTATAATTAATATTTATTTTAAGACAAATTAAATTAAAAGTATGAGTATCTATACTATATTATAAAATATTTTACAAAAACTCTTAAAAACTACTTTTTATGCGTAAAATATTGTTTATTAATGCATATTACTTAAAACTCAAGATTATAAGTAAATTGTGCGTAAGTACAACTTATTAAAGCCCCATATCTGAATTCGTGTAACTAATTGCAGATAAATATAATCAAATACAAGATAAATATTTTATTTTAAATATAAAAAATCTAAAATATAATTAGGATAATCATTGAGTTCTAACAAAATACTTAATTATTATTTTTATAAAATGTTATATTATTAAACCAAAAATAAATTATTTCATTATTGAACTTAAATTAAGTTATAATAAAAAAATAAATTATATAAAAGATGAAAACTTTTAAATAGTTAATTTGACATTAACATTGATATATATATATATATATTTTTAAATTTTTATGACATCTTCAAATTTATATTTTATTCAAAAATAAAATAATAATTATTTTTTTTTAAAACACATAATCTATACTATCTATACTATATTATAAAATATTTGACAAAAGACTCTTAAAAACATTTTTTATGTACGAAGTATTGTTTATTTATGCATATTACTTAAAGTTTAAGATTACAAGTAATTATGCATAAGTACAACTTATTAAAGCTCAATACTTGAATTCGTTTAACTAATTGCAGATAAACATAATCAAATATTGGATAAATATCTCATTTTAAATATAAAAATCTAAAATATAATTATGATAATCATTAAGTTCTAACAAAATAATTAATTATTATTTTATAAAAAATTATATTATTAAACCAAATATAAATTACTTCGTTATTGTACCTAAATTAAATTATAATAAAAAATTAAATTAAAAATTACACAAAAAATGAGGAATTTTAAATAGTTAATTGATACGAATATCGATATATATTTGTTATGCATAAAGTATTGTATATTGATGCATATTACTTAAAATTCAAAATTATAAGTAATTATGCATAAGTACAACTTATTAAAGCTTCATGTTTGAATTCGTATAAATAACTGCAGATAAACATAATCAAATAGAGGATGAATATCTCATTTTAAAATATAATTAGAATAATGATCGAGTTCCAACAAAATAAATAATTATTATCTTTATAAAAAAGTTATATTATTAAACCAAATATAAATTACTTTGTTATTGTACATCAGTTAAATTATAAAAAAATTGAATTAAAAAATTACACAAAAAATGAGGAATTTTAAATAGTTAATTTGATACTAATATCGATATACTTTTGTCAAATTTTTATTATATCTTCAAACATATATTTTATTCAAAAATAAAAACATCATCGCTTTCTCAAAATCACATGAAACCATATTATAACATCGACTGAGATAAAGAATAAAATGAAATATTAAAATGACGATGTATTTCGCTGCATTGCGTGAGTACGTTTCTAGTTTATTTTAAAACAAACTAAATTAAAAATATGAGTATTTATTTAAGAAGAAATAATAATATTTAAAAAAAAAAAAAGAGGTTGTTAGGAATATTTTTTAATTGATATAAAATCTTTGAGAAAAATAATATATCTTCTACACAACTAAAAAATAGTTGAGTAGGAAGGAGTTGTGTGTAATTTGCTTGGCAGCTGTTTTCTTCTTAAATTTGGTGGCCTTTTGACTCAAACCATAAACCACTTTCATTCATCCCACCAAATTATATTAAACTTATTTTAACAAATTACTTAATATTAAAAAGTCATTATGTTTTCATAGAAAATATTCTTTATATACTTCTCCCCTCTGCTTACATAATTATTTCACAAAATCGCTTTTTTATTTTATATTTTTTTTTTTCAAAAAACTAGTTTATACGACCAACTAAGGATTTTTAAATAAATTCGAAAACCAAACTAATTTATGATTGATAAACATAACCCATATGTTTGAAATTCTACATTCTTTAAGTTATACTTTCTTTGAAAAATAAAGACGGTTTCATGAATGTTGGCTATGGAAATATAGACATATGTGTATCAAGATTAAATTTGTATGGATTTTATAAAAACGATCGTGTTTATTAAATAATTGTATATTAATTATGGAGGCCTTCTTTTGAGAATTTTTTTCAAATATATTCTTCAAAATTGAGAAAATAAAAAATTTGGGAATTTTGAGCAATTTTTTTTTTTTTTGCTCCAAAAGATTCTTCAAAATAGAGAAAATAGGAGAGATGGTATAAAAATCTCAAAATTTGGAGAACATACAAAAAAATGAATACAATGAGAGAGAAATACTATTTAATATATTTCCACAAATAGAAAACTTTGAAATTAAATATTTAGAGATAAATATTTTATTAGATGAAAGAAATATTTTAATAATATATTCGATGTTGTAATCTTCTAAGTGAAGAATTTGTTGTATTTTTATTTTAGAGATTTTTAAAAAAATTGAAGAATTTGTTAGAGATACTTTTAATTGGTGAAATTTAATTTATACCACAAAATTATTTAAGAAATAAAATCTAATTTAATTTAAAAAAAGTTTATCACTCCTCTCTAATAGTCTTTTTTTTCCCTCTAGTATCTTCTCTTTCATCTTTCCTATCTTCTCACTCCCTTCTACATATCGTACACACATAATTAAATATGCGCGTAGGTAAACACGTTGTAGACACTTTTTCTTTTAGAAATAATATTATAATTTGTAAATAATTTGTTATAAATGTTATTATAATTTGTGAACACACTTTAAATCTACCAGATCTGATATAACTTGTGAACATAACTAAAACAAAAAAACTAAATTTAAATCTACCACTTTGGCCCACTGGTCATCCGCCGGGAGTTTCATGGTTTAATACCGATATATTAGCAACAAATCTAATAAATCTAAATGTAGTGCTTTTGAACACTTGTGAACATCCTTAAGATCATTTTCATTGTGTTCACCTTGTGTACATATTTAATTGCGAATGTGTGTATGTTATAGGAGAGAGAGAGAGAGAGAGAGAGATTAATAGAATTTGACTTTTTTTTTCTTAAAATATGCATTAATTATCTTAAATTAATGGTTTAGAATGGATTTCACATATCTCACAAATTGTGGAACTTTCAAATTATTAAACCCCTATCGATTATGATCTAACAATTTATATTTATACAGAAAGTTTAAGCTTCATGCGTTATCTTATTCATTCAATCAAGAAATTATGCAGATCATGCCAAATTAATCAAGAATTGAAAGGGCTCAATTCAATCAATACTTGTTGCAAGATTTTTGCTGTAGAAAATGAATTTTTTCTTTATGGACTGGACATTCTGTAAAGAAATTATCGAATTGGACATTAACCTTGATAAATGTAAAATTAATGTGAAATCAACATTTGCAAAACAACTCTTTTCAAGTTTAAAGGAAATACAAACTTTTTGAATCTCATGTAACATGTTTGTGAACTCAACCATTTTGCCGATTATGAGCAAAACCAACTTACTTTTTGTGAGATGATAAGAGCGAATTTTTGTAGGTTTAGATAGTAACATCAAGCATAATGTTGACGAAATATATAACTCACATGTAGATTACTCGATACGGCGAAAATAGTAGGACTCGGTGTTGTTGACAATCGTGGAGAGTAACTTTCAAGTGATTTTGATACATTATAGGAAGAAAATGGCATCATTCTTTTGCAAACAACTCCTAATTCTGCTCCTTGGCAACCAAAAAAAAATTCTTAAGAAACAAGATAATACATCTATGGACATAGTTGATTGCACGCTTAATCATTTGGGTCTATCAAATAACTTACGAGGCGAGACACTTTATATTGCGTGTCATATAAAGAAACATATACAATCTTGATGATATCATTGTTCCTTTTACGGATAACAACACAAGAAATGTGTGGAATCCTTCAACACATATGCACCCGTAGCTTGTACAACCTTGAATCTTTTCTTGGGGTTGTTAGATTCCTACATTAGTTATAACTGGACCATATATCTTCTGTATATGTTAGAGATTCCATTCACTCTTCAAGGATTCTTTTAATAGGGTTCTACATATTCTAACGAGTCAAGGTCTATCACCCGAGGAACTCGCCACTCTTCATCTATCTACTAATTATATATAATGGATGTTGTATACATACACATCCATACAAATTACATATTAGCACATGCACATGTATATGTATATATGTGTATATAGGGTAGGGTTCCTTTGAATAGCGTAAGAAGAGATCTCCACCATTGGATGCATATTAGGATGAGGTGCACCAAATCAATCCCCATATCAAACGCGATTCATTTGTGAGATGTAATTAAAAGTGATCAAGGTTCCGATCCCTTCTTATGTTTCTATCTTAACTCTCATTCTCATATCATAATTGGTTTGTGTGTATATATACACTGCACACACACGCATATACCACAAAACAGTATATATTAGAAACCGCGTTATTAGCAGGAAGCCTTTCACCAACCAATAGCTTATCTTTCTGGCCTCCAAATTGAAAATGTCATGTAACAAGTGCATATATTAGAAAAAAGAGCACACATTCTTATCATGAAGACGTGGCAGAACATCATTGGTTATAACCAAGCTCTTAAAAATGATTATTGAGTTGATGCTAAATATCTTTGGAAGCTACTTGGAAATTCCATCAAATTATAATATATCCCCCTAAATTATTGGCCTAATAACAAAATTGGCCCCTGCTTAAGTGCTTAATAGTTTTTTATCTATTGATATGGCACTTAACAGTTAAGGCTCACAATTCTTAAGTTGTAAGCTCAACTTTTATTTAAAAAAATCTTGCTTGTTTATTATAAACTTTCCCTTTACAATCTATTTTTTATGTATTTTTATCAGATATAATTTTTTTAGTACTATTATAATGTAATACTTGGTTAATTAACGGTTTTTAATAAATAAAAAACAATGGCTAAAATAAAAGTAATTTAGTTTCAAAACACAGTAAAATGGGATAATTCTGTTACTACTTACGTAAGGATATCAACCGTCTTATCATATGATTAAACGGTGTACATGTAACCTTCAAGAGGTCTTTTTGAAGATATCCAAAATGCAAGGGTGTTTTTGTAAGTGATGCCATAATACAAGGGGTGCAAGTGCAATTACTATAAAATGGCCTTAAATATGACACTTTTATTAAATTATACATTTTTGGAACAAAAGTAACATTTGAGTCCACATGTATAAATATGTGGCTGGATCACTTATTTTCCATTAAACTATAATCGAACCATGAGCGACACTCATTCATCTGCAAGTGGTGGAACGTCTTCGGTCTACCGGGGTGTCCGCAAGCGCAAATGGGGCAAATGGGTGTCTGAGATACGTGATCCAGTGACCAAATCGCGTATTTGGCTAGGGAGTTTCGACACACCCGAAATGGCAGCAGCCGCATACGATGCAGTGTCGTTTTATTTTCGGGGAGACTGTGCCCGGCTTAACTTCCCCCAAATGGCAACCGCTCTCCCCCGCCCTGCTACCCCCAGTGCTGATGACATACGTGTGGCTGCTCACGAGGCTGCAATGCTCCTCAAACCGTCGACATCTGAGATTGACACTGGCTCGAGCTCGGGTCATTCTGTGCCCACCAATGTCGGACTTTCCCCAAGCGAAATCCAGGCCATTAACGACTTACCGCTTGATTCCCATGAAACATGGATGGAATATAACAACGACCCAACAATGTATTATTCCAATCCTGCTAGCTTTGATCATAACTGGGATGAGGTACCTGATGATTCCCTCTGGGATCCGTAGGTAACGAACCCTCATCCCCCCAGCGATAATTAACTCGCAAACAATGACAAGAAGATAATTTACTTACGTCTTTCATGCAGTATCTATGCATGCCTAATTGCCTACATAAACATATAATAACTAGCTAGAGTAGATAAAATTAAATAAACCATTTATATATATATATATATATATATATATATATATATGGGGATACTATGGGCGTGAAAGCACTGGCATGCATGCAGCAAGGATCAAGTGCAAGATTACTGGATGAGTTCTTAATGTTTGTGTGTTTATTTGTAGTTTTTTTTTTGTGATGTAATCTGCAATTCTGCATTGTTTACCAAAATGTTTCTTTTCTAGAATTAAAGACTCGCAAATGAACCTTTGTTATCGTCACATCCATCGCATACGTTCATCTATACAAGTTATTATATTTTTATATATATATATATATATATATATGTATATATGATGCAGTTTCTATATCTCCATATGTAAAGCCTCGTGATCATGATCTCATCTTCAACTGTGATTTTTTTAAAGTATATAATATTTATATAGGGTAAATGCAACAAATAAATTCATACATATTTCTCACATTTGGTGAAGTTTGAACCCCTGACCTCTTATGTTATCAAGGACTATGATACCACTAGGCTATAGGCCCTTTGGTTGATCAAAGTGATCTTTATGACCATGAATCAGAAGTTTCAGTTTGACGGATTTTGACATATATTCAAGTCATAACGTTTAACATGCAATATATATCATGAATTCGAAAACGCCACCACACATGCACTATAGATACAAATGACACAGTAATTAATGAAAAAATTTATTGAGAATCTAAAGGAAAGAGATACAGTAATTAATGAAAAATGATGGAATCATAAAAGTTTGTTTTGTCTTTTATTTATGGGTTTAGTGACTTATTACTTCAATTATGAACTTAATTAGTATATTCCTTTTCAACTTTGAAGCACTTACTAAAGTTAGTTGAATTTTATAAGTAAATATATCATCTATTGTCAATACCATAAATCATATATATTATACTAATTAAACAAATAGTATTAAAAAGAATAAAAAAACAAACAATCCTAAAAAGTAAACAAACATTATTAAATTAATTTCTTTTACATTTTAATCTCAATTGATACAAAATAGGCACTCGAATCGTAAAACCTGTACTGATTTTACGAGTTAGAGGTATCCAGTATAAAATTGCAAAATTTTATTATCATCCCTCATGTTGATGTTGCACCCTCTCCAAGTCCAATGTGCAAGGATCCCTTACCCAACTAAGCTTCATCCATCTCTACAACATATTAAATGTTTGGGATTTAAGATAACGTGCTAAAGATATTATATTTCGCAAACTCCAACTCATGTTTTGCGAACTAGGATTTTGTTTAAGAGGTACATGACATGCCTTATTTTTAACACGTGGCTATATGGGGCACAAGGCCTTTTGTGATTCGAATATCTATTTTTGTAATTTTGTATTTATAAGCCAAAATTTTATAAGGACTAGCTTATAGGGATGGTGATTTGGCCCGACCCGGTGGGGAACCCGGTTCACCCGACCCGGACGGGGACGGGGAATCCCCGCTAAAACGGGGACCGGGGCCGGGGCCGGGGATCCCCGGTAGAGGCAAACCGGGGTTGGGGCCGGGTATTGTATCCCCCGACCCGCCCCGTACCCGGTATATAGATAAATGCTAAAATTACTAGTTTGGGCTTTGATTATGCATACTGTTTCAGACTTTAATTATTTGGGTTTGGGCTTTTTGGACTGGACATTACTCAAACTCATCTTCAATCCATACTCCATACTCATCGTCTCATCCTCAGACCTCAATCCTCATACCTAATACGTAATACCTCTACACAGTCCACACTACAGGTGCCGTGCGACAGGTCACAGGCGACACCGGTCACACAGCGACAAACACAGTCCACAGACAGCACACCGGCAGCGGCTACTCTGCTGTTACGCCATCGCCTTCGGCTTCGCCTACGCCCTTCGCCAGTTCGCCCTTCGCCTACGCCCTTCGCGGCTACTCTGCTGTTACCCCTTCCCCTTGACACCAGGCACACCACTCCAGCAGGCTGCAGGGCCGCAGGCGGCACTCGACAGTGAGTAAACCCAATTGCCAATTTTTCCATGTCTTTCTAGTTTCTGGTTACTTATTTCATTATTTGTCTGGAATTCGCATACAACCACTTCAAAGATTCGACTTTGAATTCCTGATGGTATCCCATTATGAAATGGAAAATACACATTGAAGGTTGCGACTTGCTAACCCACTGTGTGTAGGACAGTGTGTTTACAGAACCTGTTCTTCATCAATTAGGTCATAACTTTATTTCTATGATTACATTGTTATTGAATTGTTACTTTAATGTATATTGAATTGTTAGTTTGTTACTTTACTTTACTGTTTGTTGAGTTGTTAAATTGACCGGGGGTTGACCGGGGGTTGACCGGGGTTGACCAAAAGTTGACCGGGGACGGGGCTGGGGCCGGGGACTCTGTACACAAACCGGGGCCGGGGCCGGGGATTGCAAACCCCGCCCCATCCCCGCCCCGTTGCCATCCCTACTAGCTTAGCTTAATGAGGCTAGATTAATGATTCATCTCTTCATAAATCTATACTATATTATAAAACATTTGACAAAAACTCTTAAAAACCACTTTTTATGCGTAGAGTATCGTTTATTAATGCATAGTACTTAAAACTCAAGATTGCAAGTAGATTGTAAGTAAGTACAACTTATTAAAACTTCATATCTGAATTCGTGTAACTAACAACAGATAAACATAATCAAATACAGGATAAACATCTCATTTAAAATATAAAAATCTAAAATATAATTAGGATAATCATTGAGTTATAACATAATACTTAATTATTATCTTTATAAAATGTTATATTATTAAACCAAAAAATAAATTATTTCGTTATTAAACTTAAATTAAATTATAATAAAAAAATAAATTAAAAAAATTATATAAAAAATGAGAACTTTTAAATAGTTGATTTGATATTAACATTGATATTTTTTTTCAAATTTTTATTATATCTTCAAATTTATATTTCAAAAATAAAATCATTATTCTTTCTTAAAAACACATAAAATCGTATTATAACATCGACAGAGATAAATAATAAAATAAAACATTAAAATCGAGAATTGTCTCACTGCATTACGTGAGTACTCTTCTAGTATCTTATAATTATGATTAATAGATAACTTTATGATTTAAATTCTTGGAGAAAATATTATGAAAGGGCAAAATGGGTATTTACAAAGATGTACGACAAGCGACCAATCTCTCCCTTCCGACCTTCCGAATTCCCCAAAATTGGAGGGAGAATGATACCGAAAACCTTCAACCATCCGCCGCTGAAAATCTCAGAATCCACAGATTTGGGGGAGTTTTAGACATCAATCGGCGGAATACCTCTTCTTCATCGGAAGTTATCCTCACCAGAAGGTGTTAGCAAGTGATCCGATGGAGAAACTGACGGAGGATGAACGAAAGGCTCTTCGTGGAAGCAAATTTGCACCTCTTCCTTCTGCGGCCCCTACCGTTTCCCGATCTCAACCCCGGTCAGCTTTTTCTTTCTGTTTCTCCCTCCTTTTTGTTTGTTGTTTTCCTTTTATTTTGTTGTAATCTGGAAAATTTTGTTTGGAATCTAACCACAAGCAAGTAGAGGGTTTAGCTGGATCTGCTGAATTAATCGCACTTTATTTTTGTTGATTACTGTGTAAATTTCAAACCGATTACTGTTGTAGATTTTCAGGGAAACTTAGTAACCAGGTTAAACTATTGATATGTATGATTTTGCGACAGTTGGTAACTCGATTGAAATCGATATACAAATGCCAGGAATGAAAACATATTAGTTAACTCAAGTTTATGATAATATCCACATACATTTTGAATGTGAATTATGAACAGTATTTAGATTTGAAAATATGAGAAAGTTCTTTTTTTGGTATCATTTGAGAAGGGAGGGGCATGTGGATGTAATAACTGGATTGAATTATTGATGTTGGAAATTGGGGAAAAAACATTCACTTGCAGATTGGCACACCCTGGAGGACCATTGAAGACTAACAAAGCTGCTGCGTTAGCCAAGTTTCTGGAACGGAAGTTGCAGGAACCTAGTGGGTTGTCTTCTATTAATCCGAAACTTGTGGAATTAGCTGTAAAAAATGCCAAAGAGACTGTTAGAGCAAGTAAGGATCCTCATCCTACTTTGCTCATCTATATGAGCACACACGCACACATCACAAAACACATATATTAAATTCGTATCAGCTAATATTTTAAGGCCTTACATGCTATAAGTGGTATTAATGGGCATTCATGATTCTAAATAACGTGGAGTTGATAACTGTTAACTGTACTGTAGTTGTCGTCGTAAAAATTGGTTGTATTTTTTCTTTTATCTCTGTAATAAAGGATGGGTGCTGAAAGCAACCTCTTAGGTTTAATACTCTACAATGGAGTACCTATGGTATTTTAAGAGTTCCATTCTTTTGAGTCTTTTTCCGTTTGTGATTGTTATGGTGTGTTCTAACTTCTAAGAGAAGGAAAAGGCAATAGATAGGAATGTTCTTGTGAGTTAATGCATTATAGGAGAAGAATCATTTTCTGAACATTTGTGTGTTATCTATGCAGGGTGTGGTTAATATTTACATGGTATCTATCTGATGTGCTATCATTTTGAAACATTTTCTTTGATTTAGAACATAATTGCATACTGCTGATAACCCCTTGACATTAGGCTGGAGCTTTCTCCTCCCATATGAACTTGAGATGATTTTTTCTTTTTTCCTTTTGAATTTTTGGCGGTTCTTCAGTGAATTTGACTCATTGACATGTAGTGTAGAACCAATTGCTAACAAGTACTTAGTGCTGCAAGTGATTGTGTAAATATCCTTGTTTGTTCCTCCTTTTGAGATGATATTGGATATCCTCAGGTCCGATGTTGCTTAATGTGGCTTTTGCAAAGTACTTGGCTTTTAATGCACACATCCCTATTCCTTTTGAGCAACCAACTTTCATGCCACAAACGGATCTCTCAATATTAGTACTTTTGACCACAATTATTAGTTCATAGGACATATTCTTGTAAAGAGAAGCTTGCTTAACAATATCGTTGATATGTTTGTCAACCTTTAATGAAATTTTTCTCAAGTTCATTGTTTGGTGCCACTCTGTTGCTCTTTGAATACTAGGGAGGAACCACAGAATAGAAGTGAGTCCTGCAGATCTTTAAGATAAAAGAAAATGTATATCGGTTGAAGAACCATTAATGCATGGTACATTTTGTGAACTTGACAGCCTGAACATATAAACATGTGGACAAAAAAATATACTCTACATTTATACTCTTCAATGTAACTTTCATTGGTGTCTATTATGAACTTGCTGGCACTCTCTGTGACATGGTTATACAATAGATTATAGTTGATCTCTAGTTTATGGTTGAGCTTCTATGAAACCTTTTTAATTTTTATTATACAAGACTCCTGAAGCTTGCATATTTTTGTTCACCTTGCTTTTTATGTTTGGCTAAGATTCTTATCTCGCCATCCTTGTGTAAATTGATCTTTAATAATGAAAGATGTTCTTCCTAACTACTTCCTGTCATTGATATGCTTATCATATCTTCTGGCTGCCCTATCAACACCATTGGAGTTGCACTAATGAACAACCATCAGGGAATGTTTAAAAAAGTGAACATTAGCATAGAATTGAAAACCTCATGGTAATATAAGCACATGAGAATTCAAATTGTCCCATCTGGGACACTCACAGGGGTAGAAGTATTGGATTTTAGCGATTCTTACATGCCTTTGATGTCATTTTGACTATTCTCCAACACAGTTTCGGGCTTTCGGCATTGTTTATGAGGTGTGCTTTCACTTCTAAAGGAGCAATGATGAGTGAGGGAGGGAAACATTAGATTACATCCATTGAATCACATGGATGAATAAATGGAAAAATTCAAGTTCTGTTAGTCTACTGTTCTTGAATCTTATTTTTCTTTTATTTTTTCAATGCATCTCTGCAGTACAAGGTTTATTTGGAAATTTGCATTTGTATTAGCGCAACACACAATAGAATTACTTATAACAAACATCGAGGTTTTTCCAAAAATAAAAGCAAATTTTAAGTTGATTTCTATATGATTTCAAACTACTCCTCAGGTTGTCTACTGTTTAAATTGGTCTATTTATGCATAACTCAGAGATCAGAAGATACATATATTTTACATTAGAAATATGTTTAGTTACTGTTCTAGATAAATTGAAATTCTTTAAACAGAAATATAATTGTCAAAATCTTTTACCTCTTTATAATTGCACCATCAGTATCTTGTGTCATGCCACGAGTTGCATGTTGGCATTAGTGCTGGATACATCTCAATGCTCAGTAACAAATGTATCAAAAAAGAGAGTTGTTACTCTGTTTGGAAATCATCCAAGTAGTTAATTAACATCCACATTCGTATTCTGAAAACATGTTGAGACTTGAGTTCAGTTGTTAAAAGATTATCTTGTGGTTTATTTATGTCAAATTCTATGCAGGCAATTCTTCAAATTCAGAAAGGAAAATACAGCATGTAAACTCATTTGGTGATCCTGAGGTGCTTTCATCGTCCACTCCTGCAAAGCTGTCACCATGTTCATTGATTCGCATTTTAATCGTTGATGCCCATTTCTAAATGACTCTGAATGTGACAGGTTATGATCGAAGAAGATGAAGAAATGAATGTGAAGCCTATCAAAGTGAAGAAAAAAAAGAACAAGAAAAATAAAAAACAGAAGGTGCATTTTTGTTTCTGATCTTTTTATCATTTTGGATTTGCAGATAAGCTTACATACGTCGAAATCTGAATTGCATCAGGTGAAGTAGGTAGCAGAATGGGATCTTTTGGCAGCAATGTTTGCACTCTACTACCATCTAGACAGGTTTTTCGGCACCCAAGTCTTTTTGGTTCTTCGGTGAAGATTTCAACAATACTGCATGGTTATGTAATGTGGCTTGTGCTAGTTTTGTTTCTTTGGCGAAAAGCACCTACATTGGTTGTCAGCAACATTTTTGGTAACTTGTTGACCCAAGGTTTATGAACACAAGATAATAGAAACCTTCCATTGTGTTGTGAAACGGCGTGGTTGAGACTTGAGATCAATTTGTAGTTGATAAAATTATTCAAATCATCCTTACATACATGTGTCTATATGTACATATATATAAAAATATATAGAACTGTTAGATCAAGACCGCTAGAGAACCCTAAAAAATAAATAACTGAAGAATTCATCCAAACCTTTGATTGAGATGATCCAACATATAGGATTAAAACCTTTGATTGAGATGATCCAACATATAAGGATTAAAAAGATGGTTATAAGTGCCTTTTTCAAAAAATACAAATATTTCCCCATAATTTTTTAAATAAAAAATCAGCGAAAACAACAAAAATTGAAGTGCAACAAATTACATCAAAAAGAATGACCATCTTTGATTCGGCATCCATTTTGATATTTCTTTTTCATTCTTTTTTTTCTTGGTTCTCCTGAATCTTTTCCCACTATACACACACACACACACAATGAGAGAGAAGATCAAACAAGGTGGTCTAAGTTGCGAGAATATGAGAAGTTTCAAGATGACATGCGATACAAAAAGAAAGAAGCATTGATAGTTGTAAGCCAAATAAATCCATTTCCGAAGTCACAAATCAAAAATTCACAGATAAAAAACCTTCTTCCACATGAGTATAAGTAGGAAGCACAACACAAGATGGACAAAGAAATCCTTTTTTGTTCCTATACAACATCATATCATAAACAGACACAGGCATGACGTTTTTTTTCCTTCTGGTTATTCAAAAGCTAATTTGGGTGAAAGGGTCCTAGGCTGTTTTGGCTTATTCAAAATGTTGGCCATGTAAATATAAGGTATAGATGCAACCATCAACTGAGGACTTGCCACAAAACCAAAAAAAAAGATGGCATGTTAGGGAATCGGTACCACCCGCTCGCTACGTGCTGCTGCCACTAAGTGGCATGCTCTGGGATAAACTTGATCCAACTGAAGCGCTCGGCATACTCGTCATTGACAGACCATCCTCCTTGTTGGTTGCAGCAGAAATAACCTCCTCCTGCTGCACCCTCAAATCCGATGAAGATGATGATGGAGCTAGAGTGCCAATGGAAGATCCAACAGGATATGGTGCAACTGGCATGTCTGCTAGTGAAGACTCAGATGGGCTGTAACTTAAGGTTCCCATTGGGTGATCAAATCTGCATGACGGCCCAAACTTGCACACCCCTTTTTGAGCATAATGTGAACACAGAGGTGCACCCTGTAATCCAAAATACATACAACATCAATCAAATGAGACATCTAAACAGAAAAGCTGTTTCACAAGTCTTTTTATGTTTGGCATAATGTTTAGGCTGCAAAATAAGTTTGTAATATATATGAAAGAGACACCCAAGGATGCATACTAAGAGCCTACTGAGAATTTTCTTTATAAATGAAGCCAAGTATAAAAAAAGATCCATGAAATGACTGGCATGTCCATTTATTCATTCATTTATATCAAAAAGACAGCCACTTTGAAGTTGCAACTCTGGGTATATGAGCTTATTGGCAAAAATTGTCACAAATGATGGCACCAGTCTGGATGACACCTATTCAGCTTAAAACAATCTATAAGATGTGGCTTCTAATCCCCTAAAGAAAAAGAAAAAGTTCCAAAAAAATATGACATCAACTCACAAAGGCTCAATGGTAAGGAAAACTGAAAAACAAAGGATGAAGGCAAATCAAGAGAAATTTTGGTTTATTCGACACCACCAATTGGTAATAACATAAACTTCTTATATTCAGAAGAAGCAGCAAGGTGGGTGGACGACTTACCTAATTGTGTCAAGGCAATATTAGCCAACAATAAAGGAAATGCTAGAGAAGTGCAATCTCCTCCTAACTGAGTTGCACTTGTAATATTAGAAGATGCAATTTCGGCTCGTGTAGGCCCTACCTGAACATGACAACTGTGAGGAAAAAAAAGTTATCTTTCCTTCACTTATTTCTTCATATTTAAGCTTCATAGAATTGAGTTTGCTGATTCTTGTATATGATAATATCAAACTTGCATGCCATGTGTGGTATTCGAAAGGACTTCCTAGTTATATCACACAACAGATTCAAATACTGGAACAGAGAAGAACTGAGCTATATATATATATGTATCATGTATGTATATATATGTATGTATATATATATATATATATGTATGTATATGTTTGATTCAACAATAAATCACAGGAAGAAAACCAAAAAAACAAATCAAATCACATGGACAGATCCTAAAGTGGATTTCTCTTAAAGAAGTTAGACCATATATAGGCCTCTGGCTTTGTTTAAAATCTCATGAACTACATCAAAATTATTTATAAAATGTCATAAGAGAATCAATATATCATGGAATGAACAATAACTCGCAAGATGATTAATTTAAAATGCAAAGCTCAACTTAACCATGCAAAAATTTTAATTTCATAAAAGTAGACTTTGTAATGATAAATCCAAGTGAAATTGTGAATCCATTTTTTACTAGCAAAGTAGCAATTGACTCACTATTCTATAAGGTTGCTCCTTGTTGAAACAATTTGTCTCGTGTGTTTTTATGATATGCTTTTATTTGTAAGAACTGAAACCTTTTATTTATACAACTTTACAATACTAATCTTATGTAAACTTAGTTTATTTTGATGTACATATGTTTTATCTTTAAGGACCGAATCCACTCATACTTGCAACTTTATGACATTTATTTCTTTTAGCTTTTGTTTAATTTATATAAGTTCACTTTACTCAAGATATAGTTTGTGTGTTTTGATAAATTTAGTTTTAGCTTATCGAAGTGACTGAACACCTAAAGAATTCCTGGTTTGCATTAAAGATGAAGGAGGGATGTGTAGAGATGCTTACTGGACGGAGGGGAAGGCCCATAGGGCTAAGCACAAAGTTTGTCCTTGGTACATTCCATTCTTGTGGATGATGGTATCTACACGAGGAACCAAATCTGCAATCCCCTGTCTTCAAGAAATATTGACATTCAGGTTCACCAGGCCTTTCCGGAAAAGCATGTTCTTTTTTACTAGGACCAGTAGAAGATGGCATAGAAAGATAAGATCCAGTATAAGAAGACATTGGAGGAGATAAATGAGGATTTATTGCATAAAGCGGACCTCCTCCAACAGTATTAGGAGATGCTACTGGACTAACAGGTGTCTGCACAACGTGATTTACTAGTTATAACGATGAAAATTTCCATCTTTATAAATCAGAACATTGAGAAGAAAAGTTGTGTAGAGAATAGAGATATACCTGATAAGGATTCCAACCTGGAAATGGGACCATTCCTGGTGGAAGTATCACTGGACCGTAAGTCCCTGGGAGATATGATCCTGGAAGAAGAGAAGGTCGTGCAACTGGCCAGTTGCCGGAAAAGACTCCATACTGTTGAGAAGAGGCAACAGAAGTTGGGTATATAGCAGAGGACATAGACAAAGATTCGGGTGTCTGTGCCTGTGCCAAAGGCGGTGGTGGTGGTGGTGAAATGATGGCAGTAGGCTGGGGATGATGAAATTTACAGGTAACCCCAAACTTACACTGCCCTGTTTTCAAGTAGTATGAACACTCTTTTTCACCCTGTCATAACGGAGTTTATGTTGAGCTGACAAATTGCAATATGAAGTTCAGAAAAATATATAAATAAAAAGGACAAGAAGCTCACAGGACGAAGAGGGTATCCAGACATATTAAGTGCCAATGTGCTTGATGATCCGATCCCCTGTCTTGGATGATGATACTTGCAAGAAGCACCAAATTTGCACATTCCCGTCCTCATATAATACTGAGACAGAAATAGATACAGACTCGTCTTAATAATTCCAGATAAAATATAAATGCAATGGTAGCAACAAAGTTGGAGTTCATAAGAAAATCACATGATAGGCTGTTTTGTAATACAAATAGCAAGATAATGCACTTGCGAATACATATGTTATCGAAAAGGTCAAATTTCCAAGTCAGAAACTAATAAAGATGAACTCATCAGAGAAAGACGATCCCAAGAACAGAAAAAAATCGTGTGAATCTTTGTAGGACAAAATGATAAAAGACGAAATTATGAGCATTACATTTGGATCTCAATCTACATAGAACAAAAAGATGTCATATGCATCTTAAATACTCCAACGAATACATTTCCAACTAAGAAAAAGTCGTCAACATCAATTTTGGAAGTAACAAAAGAACACATGATACAATGTAACAGGTTAACAACCTAACATACCTACATTGATCTTGATCTATAAAGAAAATGGTTTCCAAATAGAAACAAACAACTAACTAAATAAAAGTTCCCTTTTGGAAGTAGTGAAAAAGACAAATGTGATGACAGCAGCTAAGTTAGTTATAAATCCATTTAAAACCAAAGATGAAATGCAACTACAAACAAATAAGATTAACATTCTACCAAAAGTTAAGAATCCATGTGTGATAAGAACAACTACTACAAGCATCCCACAGAATAAGAACTCCAAGGTTGGATCTTGTTATCATTAAAGGCATCTAAATATAAGATTTTCTTAACTATATATAACCTTATATGACAAAAATCATTCGAATTTGTAAATTAACAAGTTTTCGAATGAAGTACCTGACATACGGGTTGTCCAATTCGTTCCGGGTATTCCCCTCCGGCAGACCTCATAACTCCGGCAACCTGGCAAAGCTCATCAAAACAACCTTTACCAAACGCTACTTTTTAACAACTCATTTTGAGGTAATCAGCAAATGGTTTTGCTTAATGCATGTCAATTTGGGGGATCATACATGTGGAGACATATAAAACCACAGAGTATAAGTTACTATTGAGCTCTTAAAACACCCAATTTGTATACAGATCTATTAAATTCCAAGATCTATTTGGCTTTTTTGACGATGATTACATCAAGAAACACAAGAGACGAGTATAGAAACACATTATGAATGATGGAAAAAGATTTGGAAATATTTACCGAACCACGATCACGAGGATGGTTAAACCGACAGCGAGAACCATAGCCACAAAACCCTGTCTTCAAATAATAGATACAATCAGCCTCATCCGGCCGTTCAGGATACGATTCCGACCCACCTCCCAACCCTAACTGCCACATAGGCTCTGCATTTACCATTAAAACCAACAACACTCAAAAACCCAAATCGAAAAACAGAAATTCCCAATTGAAATGCGATAATGCAAGTGTCGTTCACCTTCGAGCCCTGTTTGGCCACCTGATGAGTTCCATTCTGTAACCGGATCGGACTGTGACATCTCCATCAGGCGCTTATAAATATATATATATATATATATAAATAAAACTATACAATTATACGGTTGTGTATATATATATATATATATATAATCTATCAACACTATATAGTTATACTGAAACTCCCCAAAAAGCCAAATCGTATGAACAAATGCTATTGGGTTTTCCCGATCGCCTTTTTCAGTGAGAGAAAGAAGAGGTTTCTTGAGGGTTTCTCCCCCTCTCTCTCTCTCTCTCTCTTCTCTCACAATCTATATATATATCAGAGTCCGTGTGTATGCGTGTATGTATGTATGTATGTATGTTGAAAAAAGAGAGCGGCAGTGTGGTTTTTGGGTGTTTGTTGATGAGTGTAGATACGTCCAACAACTGAGACGAGAGTCTTTGTTGGTGAAACGGAGGTGTTGGAAGAGTTGTTTGGGAATGGTAACGCTCCCCCCTCCAAATTACCAAGTTGCCCTTCCCATTTCTTACACGTGCATTAAGACGTCTTCTCCTTACATCACCACATATTTCTCTTTTTCATTTACATGTTTTTTTTTTCTTTACTTTTAAATAATTATAATTATGTTATTTTAATTTAATTTAATTTAATATAATTTAAAATTTTATATTTAAAAGAATAATGTAACGGTAAATTTGGTGTGATAATACTCACCAACATCAAAATGGTGTAAAAATCGGTGTTAAGGTGAAATGATTTGATGTACGAAGAGGTATTGAATGTATTGATGTTGAGTTGACGGTGGCTTTAGTTGGTTTCATGGAGTTTAGAATTAAAGGGATCATACATTACTAAACACTATCCGGTGTTTAATGCATTATTTTTAAAAAAAATTATATAAATATTTTATAATATAGTATAGATATTTCATTATTGTTTAAATATCTAAAATATTGTATAAACAAAGAAAACGTCAGCTTAACATCGTGAATATCAAACAGAATATTAAAAAAAACATGGTATAAAAATAGTTAAAATTAAAAATGTAATTTTAATTTCAGAATTTTATCATAACAATATTCAAAATACTAATAATACTATAATTTAAGAATGTATAAATTATAATATTAAATAATAAATAAAATCGGTATATTCACAATATCCCATTAGCTAATAGCTAGTAACATGTATTTAAAACCATTTTGAAAGGGACAAAAATAGAGGTGCATATTGTTGTCACTTTTTTGTGGATAAAAATAAATGTTTTATTTATTACTGTCTATGTTTTTGTATATAAACAAATTTACGATTTTTATTTGACAACAAAACCAAATATTTTCTATAAGATTTTAACTACCAAAAGATTTAATATCAATATCTAAAATTAAAAAATTGTATTTTTTAGTGCTTGAAATATCAACTTTATTAAAGTCACACGTTTGACCATTTTTGTATAAATGAGTTTTGTAAACTATGAAAAGATACAAGTCAAGTGTTTAATTTATAGCGGATACCACTTTTTTATTTAATTTATATTTTCTTAAGATAAATATCATAATAAAAAGTCAAAACTTTGTCAAATGATGCCAAATGGTATATTTTCAATATCCCATTAAAAAGGCTTTTTTTCTTTTTGTGTATACCTTATGGACAAATGACATGATTAAATTTGAACTAGATTTTTAATGTACTAAGAATGATAAATATATATATATATATTGGCAGGTTCAAACGAAAAGACATGTATTTTACGAGAAAACAAGAAGGAATCCTAACCAACTACTTAATAAATCAAGGGCTATGATTAATAATGGCAAACTTGTAATATAATGGGCTAATTCAAATAATAAACATGTTGGAATTTAATTATAAGGGCAAAAGAGGGAAAGAAAACTAATTTTAATAATGGTATATATGACACGCTAATTTAGAGGGTTTTATATACATCAATTACCTTTAATTTTACCCAAAGTTATCTTCAAGCACCCATCCATTCAATAATGATATGGCAAATCCCCCCCCCCCCCCCAAATCGCCTTCTCTCTCAACTTCACTTGGATGATAGCCTTCTTGAGGATTTATGCACTGAAGTCGACCATTGTTCACGGAAATCATCAACAATTGTTTATCGGAATAATTGGTGTAATCATATATGATAATACCAAGTAACCATATGTGATTATATCAGGTTCTCATTCTTGTTTGGTAACACGTAATCATATATGATAATATCAAGTAATCATATGTGATTGACAGCTCCAACAAACAACAAAGAAACCCAAATGAACCAATGTGTTATCACATATGATTAATTAGGGCTATGATTATGGTTCATTAATTAGTATATCAACATATTCTGGGAACATTATGTCAATAAACATACAAATTATGGGAACAACTCCAATAAAAAAAACAAGTAAAAACAAATGAACCAATCAAGTAATATCACAGATGATACCACAAGTGATGATACAACAAATCCCCC